TGTTAAAATTTTGAATCTTTCCCTCCAAGACTCAAGATTTAAGATATATTGAAAGAAAAAACTGCATTTAATTAATTAATCATATTTAAATATAATAAATAATTTATACAAGTATCTTTACATAAATACTCCGTGATTCAAAGTTACCATTAGTTTCTTTGAATTGTAAATAATTACCAGAATATATCATCCGTTCACTTCATCCATCCGTTCACTCTAAAGCCTTCAAGTTGTGAGAAATACTTTGAAAGTAGGTACTAGGTCAAACATTTTTAAAGTTCTCATTAAATCTTAGGCTCAAAATCATAAAATCTAGCCTTTTGTACATTTCAGTAATTAAATCGAGATCTCATTATCAGAAAATCGAGTAATAATACTCAATAATTATTAAATTTTTGATTTGTTTATTTGCATATCGTTCAAAAAATACTTTTTTCATTAACGTTGTACAGCTTACATTTAATTTTTACATAATAAATTAATATATCGCTTACTTAATTTATATAGGTACATCACTATAACAAGCAAATATAACGTTTAAAAAATAAGTAAAACAAACAAAAAATAGTGGAAAAGAAACTACAATACCAAAATTTAAGTTCTTAAAGCGCCCAGACAATCTACTAAGACGTTCGAGGCTTTGTTTGCGAAAAGATATTAAAAGTAAATGAGCGAGCGACTGTAGCTTCTGAAACTTTGAATAAATAATCCTATCGATTATAGCAAATATGCTTTAGAAATCGTGTTAGCGAATAAATTGATTGATATGGCTAATATTAAACTAATGTTTGAAGTCTTCTCTTAAGGCAAGTTATGAAACCTAAAACAATTTAAATTATGATTTTTTTTAATTTTTCGTCCCCAACCTTTCGAAATCATCCAGTCATCTTCATTCAGTCTCTCCCATGACACGATTGCTGTAAAGCATTCGAAACTTCGGATACCAAAAATCAAAATAAATCCGCGAAAAAATCCGATATGATAGTTCTATTTAAAATATGGATATTTAGTTAAAATTTGTAATCCAAAGAAAAATAAATGATTATATATTTATTATTAAAAAAAAAATATTTACGGAATGAGACGTCAGACGATAAAGTTTTGTAAGAAGCTAAATAATCCCTCTGGGTATTTTGTTTGCGGTAAGATTTTAAATGGACGAGCGAAAACAGAAACGTTTTAAACTTTTGAGACTCAACTTGTGAAATAAATCATTAATCCCCGAAATAGGCTGCGAAAAATTATATAAATTTATTCTATGTACTAGCGATTCGTCCTCGCTCCGCTCGGGTTCATCCCTGGGAACGTTTTAAGGGTTAGTATAGATTTCTCGGAGATGAGATATTTTCCCACAGTGAAAAGTATCCTATATATTGACCCGGATAACCAACTATCATCATACTAAACATCAAAATCCGTCCAGTGCTTTTCTCGTGATGCATTCCCAGATAGACAGACAGACTGACAAAAAATCTAAAAACTATAGATTCGACCTCCGTATCGATAATAATGACTATTTCAATAAGATTTTCCAAAAAAATATTTATTGTACAGATTCAGCTCAGTTAGAACTTTATTATACGTATGGATTTCCATAAATTATTTTTTATTAATATTTTATGATGCTGGCTGAATAATATCGGGCATTAAAAAAAAAAAGTTTCCCGCCATTTTACTTAATTCCGATTGACTTTTACAAAATGACGCTTGTGATAGTGTTGGTGATTAAGATGTACTTAAACTAATGAAAAAAAATATTTTGTGGTCACCTGGCACACATTGAAGCCATTAAATGAGAATTGAATTGCCTTGAAAATAATATATTTTGACTAAAACGTGTGAAATATTGCTATTTATAATTAATTATTTGGCATTTTAACGTATCCGCTTAGTAGCTAATCTATACATATAATAAAATTCTAACTAAGCCGAATCTGTACATGAAATATTTTTTGGAAAATCTTATTGAAATAGACATTATTATCGATACAGAGGCCGAATCTATAGGTTTTAGAATTTTTGTCTGTCTGTCTGTCTGTTACCGCATCACGGAAAAACCACTGGACGGATTTTGATGAAATTTGGTATGGTGATAGCTGGTTATCCGGGTCAACATATAAGATACTTTTTACCGAAGGAAAATATCTCATTTCTGAGAAAAAATGCAAAAACTGCAATGTAGGAGTATACTAATCTGTAAAACGACGTAAGAATTTGGTTTTTGGTCATCTGAACGTGGGCGGAGCCGCGGGCAATGCTAGTATAAAATATTATATTAAAAAATATTTTAATGTTGATAATCAATTTTATATATTTAAATATAACAAAAAATCCTAACATTTTATTATATTTCAATATGGCATAGGCAACCTAGGCATTTAGCAGAACGATCGATGTCCTTGCTACACATAGAGCCCTTTCTAAAATACCTCTGTTCAAATATTCCGTTGTTAAAGTACAGTTATGCATTACTTCCAAACGTTAGACTTTATAAATACATCACATCTGACCCCTCATCGAAAGCTGATTTTTTTTAGATAACCGATATTTGTATGGCCAATACATAAAGGTAAGAGTAGTATAAAAAGTAATCCCCACCCACTCCTGCTAATATAGAAGTCAAAAATAGTAGCGTGATTTGCTGTTTATGCTACTATTCTCGATTATGTACGTTTACTTCAATAAATAAGGAAAATTTTATATAGGTATATTAAATTACTAGCATGGCCCGTGGCTCCACCCGCGTTCAGATGACCAAAAACCAAATTCTTAGGTTTTACATATTAGTATACTCTTACATTGCAGTTTGTGTATTTTTTCTCAGAAATGAGACATTTTCCCGCTGTAAAAAGTATATGTTGATCCGGATAACCACCTATCACCATACCAAATAACATCAAAATCCCTCCAGAGGTTTTGCTGTGATGCGGTAACAGACAGACAGACAAAAATCCTAAAAACTATAGATTCGGCCTCTGTATCGATAATAATGTTTATTTCGATAAGATTTTCCAAAAAAAATAGTTAATATACATATTCGGCTTAGTTACAATTTTATTATGTGTATAAATTAAACAATTTTTGAGAAAAAAATATGAATAATAAAAATATTTCTTTCCCCTTGGAAAAGGTATCATAATATAATTATTTTTCTCGGTATTATAATAAAATTAATTAGCTATTTTTCGTTACTAACGTTTATTTACTTAACACTTGGTATGCAACTTGTCATTTGTATACTATTTTAAAACTTTATTTGGCTTCATGTTTAGTTATATGATACTCTGTTATATTATTAATAAGTCTGAATTGTAACATTAGAAAAATACATACTGTTTGATATAATACTTGTCTCCGTTATAAAGCTTATATAATATGAAATTGACGAAGTCCAGTTTATTGGAGTCCTCCACTAAGCCAACCCTCTAATCAATATATAAGGATTTACTAAGCTTAGTTTTTTATTAGGTTTTTGCTTTTAATACTTGTGAGGGAAGCCTCTTTTATATTTTAAATTCCATAGTAAACGTAGAGCTAGGTTTATTATAAATAGTGTTCGTGGAATTGTCTAAATACGACAATAATCATTATAGAAAATTTTTGAGGAATCGATATGTATATGAAGAGAATTCACCTATCTATATAAAAGAAACTTACTGTCTTATTGATAATTGTAAAGCTCGTGAATAACTATCAAATAAAAAGAAAATCAGTTGACAAACAAAGGAGAAATAGATATTGAATTGAATCTTTGCCTATTTATATGTATATAGATTATAGATTTTACAACGGATCTACTTCTTTGTAATAAAATCATACTAATAGCTCACGAGTCCTATATTTATATAAAGAAAATGGTTAAAGCAGTTTTTTTAAGTGATCCCCTACAGGGGTTAAATAGTTAATGAAAGTTATTAATTTTTACCGACTTCGGCACAAGTTTAGTATATGGGATGCAGCCTCTGGATATTTGGATTGGTGAAGTTATAGGATATATTATTTTAAGCCCTGAATCCCTAATACCTGTTCAATCATAGGCGTTCTATGAAATTTTTCGACTCGAAAATTATAAGTATCGAACATTATTAACACCTCCAGGTAAATTTCTAAGAAATTAATTAAATTTATAAGAAGGATTGAAGGATTAAAGAATCGAAAATGTCAAAATGACAGCAAATGTCTAAACAACGTATGGGAAAGTTGTAAGTTCAAATCTTTGTAAATTATCTCTTTTTTTTATATTTAGATTGCTTATTAGATCCCCTATTCAAAAATATATCGCAGTCCTCCAGAGGTCACGTCCCATATGCTAAGCTACATCCAAAGCTTCTAAAAAGCTGTAAAGTTTTGACTTTAATATAATCTATTATATCAGCTTCGTAGATTGCAAATTTATACCTAGGTATTTCGTATATCTGCCTGCCAAGTCGTACCCATTGACCTTAATAGTCATTGGCACTAAAACATGATACTGCCTTGTTATACACTGGATTAAAATATTTTTGGAAGGCTTTACAGTATAGAATAGGTTATTTACCAAAAGTTTAAAAAAAGTTTAGATAAGAATTATCAAGTAGATAATTCTTAAAAATATACAAAAACAAGTGTTATTATTGAAATAAACACAAATTAAACATGTAATATATGAAATATGTAAATATTATATTATATTATAGTGTTTTTGTTATTATATTTTAATTTTTAGTGTACTATCCGCAATTTCCTTTTGCCCCAATAACTTATAAAATAGCTTGTTATCCCATGGAACTTCTCTTTTTCCCAGGATAAAAGTAGACTCAAACTACGCTTAAGTAATAATTCTTGCATTGAAAATCATCAAATCTCGTCTAAAAAATGCGCTTTCATCGTACTTTGTTTAATGAATATACCTTATTAACTTTGTATGAAGTGGGTATTTTGAAACCACATACTTTATTTTTAATAAGACCATCTATATTATTTATAATATGAAAATTAATAAACATTTTCTTTGTCAACAGAACTTCGCGAAGCTTTCGAAGCTGAAGCTCAAGAGGTGAAAAAACCACGTCTTCTCCTCACCGCCGCCGTGCCTGTGGGTCCTGACAATATAAAGAGTGGATATGACGTACCGGCAGTTGCTAGGTAAATATAACATGAAATAGACTTATGTAGAAAACATGATAAAATTGGTCCAAATTCTAGCTTTGAGTTAAAACGCGTATTAAAGAATAAGAAATATTTCTTCTCAAACATTAACTTGAAAAAAACCTTTTTTCTTTAAGCTGTATCTTTAGTTTTATCGTAAAAAAATATTACATAAATATTTATTTAAAAAAAAAAAGGTAGAAAATTACAAGTAGGTATACTTAATTACTACTGTATAAGTCATGTTCTCTTGTCACCAGTAGAGGCTGTACGAAGATATGTGTCTTTTAAGAAGTGCTTATCTGTACTGGTATTATAAAAATCGAAGAGATTGTGTTTCTATTGTATATGGAACTGCCAGTTAGGTCGAAAAAATAGGTTCGTATTTTGTATTGAAGAGCATTAGTACCAAGTTTCAAGTAATTATGATCATATATAGTTTTTGGGTTGTATTATAACGTGTTTTCCCGTGGGAATGAGATAATCTCCCGTGGTAAAAAGTAGCTTATGTCACTCTCCAACACTCCAGTAATCTCCACACAAAATCATGCTAATCCGTCACTCTATTTCAACGTGAAAGGACAACAAACAAACACAATTTCTAATTTGTAATATTAGCATGGATTTATTGAGGAAGGGATAGGTTATCTAACATCACGTATCGAGACTTGAGTGTAGAAGAATTTTAAAAAACACAGTTCGCGTTCAAAGTCATAGGCAAAAGCTAGTAACAAGTACAAATGCGAATACTTCAAATACTTTCTCATTGAACTCACAAACGTATTGAAATGAAACATTCTTTACTCTGCAGACTTAGATCTAATAACACAACGTCTCTGTCTAATGTTCGACGTCAATTTGAAGTGAATGGCAAGCGTTATAAGAAAATTCCTTACATTACTAATGAATACATATATTATATATATATATATATATATATATATATATATATATATATAATAGCTGAGTAGAAATATTGCTATAGTTTGTCTTACGTAAATAATATGGATTAGCTGTTACCTGCAGTTCTGCCTCTACGAGCCGTAGTGTGATATATGTATATATAATGTACTCGTATATACGGTCCCACTGCTGCGTCTGTCTGTCTGAACGTAATACACTCAAATATTACCAAACGGATTTTGATTTGGTTTTCACCAACGGACAGAGTGGTTCATACTTCATGAGGAAGCTTTAGGTGTTATAATCGTAATTCATTAAAGTTTTGTAAAATATATAATGATGATTTTTAAATAAAACTATCTTTTCGGACTTTTTCGCGGATTTATTTTGATTTTTGGTTCTCCGGCGTTTCGAATGCTTTACAACAAACTTGTCAATGGCTGATAAACAAAAAGAAGAAAATCGATCGACAAACGGATGCTAAAAGGTTCTGAACTGTTTTGCCTTTGCCTATTTATATACTCGTATAGATAAAATATTAAAATTATAATGATCTGGTACATGTCTCTAAATAAAAAATTGCTATTCTCTCAGTTTGCATTAATAAATATGTATGTTAGTTTTAGACCATATCAAAGTTTCATTTCAAGTTATAGTTTGGTCTGGGCGATGTGAATCTATCAAGACACATAGCTTTATAAGCAAAAATTTAATAGTATATAGGCACTTATTGATTTTCCCAAATTCTATAAGTAAATTAATGATAGATTCTTTAGATCATATATTATACATATATATATATATATATATATATATATATATATATATATATACAAGAATTATCTATTTATATATATATATATATATATATATATATAAATATATATATATACTATGTATATAAAATCAATATCGTAACGGAATCAAACCCATGATCACCAACCAAATAGTGACTATCTAGTCTAGTGAGTGTATCATATATGTACATATAAGCAAAATCTTTATTGGAAACATTTTAAAAATATATGTGAATTTCACAGCTACCTTGACTTCATCAATGTCATGGCATATGATTTCCATGGCAAATGGGAGAGAGAAACCGGCCACAATGCACCTTTGTACTCGCCATCTTCAGATTCTGAGTGGAGGAAACAGTTGTCAGTAGACCACGCTGCCCACTTGTGGGTGAAGCTTGGAGCACCTAAGGACAAACTGATTATTGGTATGATATATTATACATTTTAAATATCTTTGTGTTATATAATTTAGGCTTTTGCTTATTATTGAATTATGCCATTTTATTTTTTTATATTTTACGCGGTTTAATTTTGGTCTTTATTTCCGACGTTTCGAATACTTCACAGAAAATATAGCCAAACTAAAACGGCGAAAATTCTTAAAAGATAAATTTATTTCAATTGTAAACTGTTTGCGTAAATATAAGAAAGCATTGTGCTAAATCTTATTGTCTTTTTAATTATTATAACATCCGCGTGAAAAGCCAAGCGAAGTGGGTTCAGATTCATGTCTCGAATATCTAAGATTTTTATAAAAGAATCATTTTCAACACGATTACCACTTGACAATATGGTAAAAGAAAACATCGTAAAGAAACCTGCTCAATTGAGAACACTTAATTAGTTTTCAAAAGACTTGTAAAGTCCGGTAACCCGTATTTGGCCAGCGTAATGAAATATGACCTATTTCCCTTCAAATTGATTAGAGGATCATGCCTAGGGGCATCGGAATTGTGGGATGTTAAAGAGATATAAATACAAAAGTTAGTATGTATATTTGTTTCGATCTAGCTGCTGGACGGATTTGAATAAAATTTAGTACATAGATAGACCTTTATTTGACCTGGTCTTAACGCATAGACTAATGTTAATAATAAAATTGGCCAAAAGATGGCGTTGTCAGTATATAATATTATTTACACAAAAGGTATCTAGGGACGCACCCGAGTGAAGTAGTTTGTCATATAAGATCTTAAGAGATACTTATAAATATGTTGTCCACAGGTATGCCGACCTACGGCCGGACCTTTACTCTGTCGAATATGAACAACTTCAAAGTTAATTCCCCTGCCAGTGGGGGAGGGAAAGCGGGCGAGTACACAAAGGAAAGCGGCTTTCTCGCGTATTACGAGGTGATTTTAATTAAAAATTATTACTACGATTATTGGGAGGTCCGTTTACAGGTTCTAGAGATGGTGTTTGTGGGATATATATTTTTGGGTAACTATAATATGAGAAAGGCTGGACCGATTTGACTATGTTTTTAAAAAAAATATGGACTAGATAAATGTAATGTAAAATTTCTTATATTTCTATGTATATATTATGTTCTCTCAGTAAACTATAAAATGACATGAAGGAGCTAAATACAAAATTATATTTAAAAAATCTATAAACATCGCTAGATAACGATTGGATGGAATTCCATTCGGTATTTCTTACTCATATTGTATTCTAAATAAAATTAAAACATGGATCTTTTCTTTCAATTATAAACGGTGGACCAGGTAAAAATTAGAATAAATTAATTTACATACAGAAAGTCCCAAGCAAATTGTGTAAACGGGCTATCCACCGACTTCAGGTGATTACAGGCTTTCTCATGGGAAATTTAGTAACTGACAAGATCTTTCATTTCAAGGTTAAATGCCAGATAAAAGGCCTTTCTTTTTCTTATTTGCAATTTACAGCTTACTTAATGAGTAATAAAATTTACGATACGTTTTATATATGCCTTAAACCCTGATGGAGGCAATTTACCTCGACCGTAAATACTGGCTTTAAAATAAAGTAAGTCGACTCTAACGAAATAAACTTTTTGTTGGACTGGTTGGGCTTTTGCTTTTTCTTTATTCAAACATATTGATACGCGAATAAATAGACCAATAATACGATTTAATAATTAATTTGTTCGTATACTGTTTTTTTTAATTTATATAGTTAAAAAATTGCTTGTCATTATTTTTTTATTATGACGACACTTTTGGCTCAATTTGTAGCGACCCTATTTGCTGTGCCAGTGGTCGCAGGTTGGAGTCCCACTGGGGGCGTTTATTTGTGTGATGAGCACAAATATTTGTACTCCATTCATGGGTGTTTATATTTATAATATGTATGTATTTAAAGTTATATGTGTAGTGTATCAACTATCTGGTATCCATAACACAAGCTTCGTAGCTTATCATGGAACTAGATGGTGCTGCGTGTTAATGTCCCAACATATTTATTAATTTTTGTATAAAAGTATCTTTTTAAATATAACTTTCTGTTCACATTACAATAAACTTTATAATATTTGAGTTCATACAAAAATGAAATTTTCCTAATTCCGGTTTTTTTTTAATATAAATTACACATATTTATGATCGTCTAATCCACCATTGAAAAGGTTGGATTTTAATTAAGTTGATGATAGAATAGATTGAAGAAACATTAAAAATAATATATTTAATCATAATATCCTTAATAATTGGAAGTCGATTAATAAACCAGTCATGGTGAAAACCTACCATTTTAGCATTTTAATCATCACTTTACAGGTACCCATAGTAGGTTTTAGCTACATAAAAAAATATATGACTCACTTACTGACTCTTAAAAACTATCAAAACTAGAATCATGTTAGGTCAGATTATATAAAATATAAGACAGAAATGTTTTTTTGCTAATGTACATTTATTATAATAAAAAAAGTTATACTTGTTTTAGTAGATCCCGATCTATGTAGTGGACCCCTCATTCTTTCCACCATCCAGACGAAATATATTTTTTTTAAACCATAAAACATATTTTTGTATTAAAAATAACGTTAAATTTAAAAAAAGTCTTTTTCCAATTTTTTTTTTAAACCATAAAACACATTAACAAACACGACGACCCAGAGGGGTTGTCACCAAAAATTTGCTCCAGGTTATTTTTAATACAAAAATATATTTTATGGTTTAAAAAATATAATTCGTCTGGATGGTGGAAAGAATGAGGGGTCTACCACATAGATCGGGATCTTAGACTATTTGAAATTTCATGAATTTGAGTTCCTAGTGTCGGTAAACGCGAATAAAGTCTTATCTAGTACGTAAAATTTTAATTTGCTTATATGTAACATAATTCTAGCTTTTTGTTGGTTGATATCGAGTTTTAAGTAAAAAACGGTGATAATGATATATAAAATTATTTTCAAATATATATAAAATACTAGCAGAACCAACGACTTCACTCGCGCTAAAACTACAAAAAAATAAAAATACGAAATATATTAAAAAAAAGTAGTTTCATACAAACTTTCATCCCCTATTTTACCCCCATAAAGAATGAATTTCGAAAAATGCTAATATATGTATTTATTTAATTTTATTGAAGAGCATTAATATCAAGTTTAAAGTAATTTTGATCATAAATATTTTTTGGATATTTATAACGTGTTTTCTCGTGGGAATGAGATAATCTCAAAAAAAAAAGCCTAAAAGTAAGCCTAAAAAGGCAAAAAGTAGCCTATGTCACTTTCCAACCCTCCAACTATCTCCACACAAAAATCACGCCAATCCGTCGCTTCGTTTCGACGTGAAAGAAGGACAAGCAAGCAAGCAAGCAAACAAACAAACAAACACACTTTCACATGTATAATATTAGTATAGATAATATAAATTATTTCAAAATATACAAATATCTTATTATATTAAACAAGCAATACTTGAATAAATATAAAATTTCGTGTATCTCAGAAACGGCTCTAACGATTTGGATCAAATTTTGTATTTAGATAAGGATTTGATTTTTAACTTCATCTATCTAGTAGGTGTCCTTTCTAATAAGATGCAATTTTTATATAGAAGCTCGTACGATACAATACTTAAGTATAAGTTTTAGTTATTTTAATTATGATTTTGTATTACAGGTATGCGAAATGCTTAAGAACGGTGCGGCGTATGTATGGGACGATGAAATGAAAGTGCCATACGCTATCAGCGGAGACCAATGGGTGGGATTCGACGATGAGAAGTCCATCAGAAATAAGATGAGGTAAGATATAAGTACACACTACACAGATATTATATGGTCAAGAGTAATATATATGCTGTTACTCATGGGTGGTGGCAGAATTATTTCCAGAGGGATGCATCTTTTTTTCACATTAAACTACTAACTAATCTTTATATGATCAACTCTATAATTTTTATTTATATCTTCTTTATCTTTCCTTTGAGGATATCTAAATTTTGAACTGGGATGTTAATCATATAATTTTATTTCTTAATCTTTTTTTATATATTTTTTTCATGGCATTGGCTATTAAAAAACCTAATTTAGTATATACGATTCGTCTTTGATTTATTTTGTGCATTATTTTTTTTCAAATAAAACAGCTTAATAATTATACCTGTTAAATTCATTTAATTGTATTTAAAATAAAAAAAAAAAGATTTTAAATCACTTATATAAATCATTGTCGATTGCAGTCATTTCGACAATCGTTAACGTAACGAAAACTTCGTGTAAATGGTTAACTTGACCTATCGATATAATTGCTCGTGTCATGGCCGTCGCTGACTTCCGTAATTAAATATGTTTTTATAAATGTGAATTATGGGTTCGATTAATAAAAAAAATAATCATTTTTCAACAATAAAATATTTTTTATATTATTTCTATGGCATATTTCAATATTTCCAAATATCCCATAGGAATCCTTATTTAGCGATTGTAATCGCAATCTGTATATAAATATTATAAATGTAAAAGTTTCTAAGTATGGATGTTTGTTACTCTTTCACGCCAGAACGGCTGAATGGATCTGGATGAAATTTGGCATAGAGATAGATTATAGTCTGGAATAACACATAGGCACTTTTTATCCCGGAAAATGTATAGTTCCCGTGGTATGGGTTTGTTTTTGCTTTCCTAGCGAAGCGAGGGTGACCTTTATAAATGTAAAAGTTTGCATGTTCGAACTGATCTGAAGGATTTGGATGAATTTAGTATACAGATATGACCTGGACTTATAAATACAATCTGCAGTCATAATGGCAAATACTACTTTACTTACAGTCGCTTATAATATTCTTAATTAATGAATTTTTTGATCATTAATATCGATTAATATCAATATCTATAATATTTTTTTATACAAATATTATATTTGTAACAGATGGATCAAAGACAACGGCTTCGGCGGAGCGATGGTCTGGACCGTAGACATGGACGACTTCTCTGGAGACGTTTGCGGTGGAAATGTCAAATATCCGCTCATTGGTGCTATGAGGTTAGTTTTGGTTTTATTTAGGATCTGATATTCTTAGTTTTGTTTTGATTATTTGAATATAATGATCATCTCGATGGTTGCCACTAAGATTAGCATGTACGCCACGTTCGAAGGTCCCGGGTTCGAATCGGATCAGGCCAAGTAGTAATAGGGTTTTTTCTGTTAAGAAATTTTAAGTAACAGCCCACAAGTGGGAAGTTGGCGATATTACACCTCCATACCTCGTAGCGTCCTAAAAATATACATGCTATATACATCCATATAAACTATGCTTGTCGTCTATACGTTTGGAAAATTTATTTTACTCGTATTTTTCTATTTACAGTTTCTTTTTTTATTTATTTATGTGTTATAATAATGAAGTTCTATTGTTCTTTATTTATTTATTTAAAATCTTATTTTAGCCACAATATAATAAAACTAAATAATAATTTAGCCATTTTAACGTTTTACTACTGGCACGAGCCTCCCCTCGATGCGAGAGGGATCATAATATCGTACATAAACATTCTAGTCTCTCTTCGTATACAAATAGAGATCGAAACTAAGCGAATGATGTTACAATAAAATAAAATTCCCTCACGAATGTCGTTTAGAAGATTTTATCCTAATCTTCGAGTGAGAACAACGAAATGGTTCGTAAACATTACGTCTCGAAGTTAATGGACTGTTCGAATCAAAAGTTACTTTTATCGCATGAATTTCCTTTAACAGATTTCGCTTTTGAAATATAAATCTAATGTATTTTTTATGGATTATGGATTGCTAGTTCTAAAACGCAGTTTTGTTTGTATTTTTGAAGTTATACTTCTTTTGGCACGTTTGGAAAAAATTATGAGAGTAAGATTTTTGCGATGCGCGCGTACAACGACAGCCAAAGAGCGACACGAAGTTAGCTTCATTCCTTTTACAAACAGAGAGTTGTGACATACGGGACGAAATATTTAGCTATTTTTGTTCTGTTACGCCAAACAAGTAAAACTTCTAACGTGCGTACATAAGTACACGTTTTTTTATATATAATATGTACATTGCACATACATATACATCTTAATGGTACTAGTGCGAATTGAGGCATACAAAAAACCTGATATCATAAAAAAGTTCGAATTACTGTTAACCTTTTACATAAATAAAAATTAAAATTCGTATGTTTGTTCTCTATGCATGTTTAACCGATTGTGATGAAACTCTGGTGGGTTATTCTGTAAGCGACTGCGAAGGTTCCTCGTCTCCAAAAAAGATTTTTTTTGGAAGTTTGTCCTTTACATGTTCCTAAACCATTTTATCTATCAAAAATCTTTACGAGCAAACGCATAATTATTTGCTAAAATTTCATCGAATATGAATATATTTTCAAAAATAAGTTACAAATAGACAGCATATATTCTTTTTTTTACTTACATATATATATCATTTGTATATATATATATATATATATATATATATATATATATATATATATATATATATATATATATATATATATATATATATATATATATATATATATATAAATGAGAAAAATATTAATTACCAAACTAATGAAAAGATACGAATGGTATATTAAATAATCACATAAATATTATAAGGTAAAGTTCGATTCCCACGATACAAAAAATTTAGATTTCATAAACATTAACAATGTTAGTTAAGTTAATTAAACAAAATTGGAAGTTACGATCAAGGAGCTTAGAATTACTCTAGAGGAAAGAGCTTGTGAACAAAAATATAATTTAAAATTTAGTACGAAATGTGGAAAGCATTTATGTATTTCTGGGTGAAAAGATATTTAAGGAAAAATTTTACTGGACATTTTATTTAGTAAGATTACGTATAAATAAAAAAGCTTTTAAGCTTCAATCTGTAGCATGGAATCTATTTTTAAAAATATAGTCATACTAGCGATTCACCCTCGCTCCGCACTGATTCGTCCTTAGTTACGTTTTGACGTTTAGTATAGATTTCTCAGAGATGAGATATTTTCCCGCAGTAAAAAGTATCTTATATGTTGAACCAGCTATCATAACACCATTATACCAAATATCATCAAAATCCGTCTAGTTTTATCGTGATGCGGTCACAGTCAGGCAGTCAAACATTCTAAAAGCTATAGATTCAGCCTCTGTATCGATAATAATGACTATTTCAATAAGATTTTAAAAAATATATAATATACATACAGATTCGTCTCAGTTAGAATTTTATTATATGTATACATTGGATAAAAAATCTTGTTTACACATTATGCCTAAGCTTTTAAAAATACGGTTTTTTCAATGTTGTGGTTTATTTCCGTATTTATACTTATAAAAGTGACTTTTTTACGGCTTTTACTTAAAGATAGTTAGTTTATAGGTCAGAAATAATATCTACGAGTACTATATAGGTTATTTTATATTCCAACACTAAAAATTTAATCAGAGGCACTACTAATCTAATACTATCTTAAATTAACGCGCATATTTGACATTTTAAATAAGCTATCTTTTCAAATTTTTTCGCGGATTTATTTTGAATTTTGGTTCGCCGTCGCCATTATTCCTCCCTACATGGTCTCTTCCGCGACCATGATTGCTGTAAAGCATTGGACACATCGGGAACCAAAAATCAAAATAAATCCTTAAAAATATCTGAAAAAAAAACAGCTTTATATAAGATACGAATCTGTTCCAAATTATGTTTTTATTTAATCAAACTTTAATTCATATACCAGGGAAGAACTTCGTGGTATATCTCGTGGTAAGGACGCTAAGGACATCGACTGGGCGGAAGTTGCCGGTACCGTGGTCATAGAAGAAACTGAAAAACCAGAACCAATCAAAATCAGCTTATCCGACGTTTTGAGCAAAGTAAAGAAACCCACAAAGACGTTAATCATCAAAAACAATAATGCCTTAGCAGCGGACAAAACGAGTAAGTTTTATAGCTTTTAACTAAAAAGTTATATTGATTACAAACACACTGTAAATACTTGTTTTATAGGTGTTTTTTTTTTTTAATTTTTATGAATCACCTTGAGACTAAAATTATTAATTTTAAAATTCGGTTCACAATTGTTTAACATAGCTTACTAATGTTAGATTAACATAATTTCGAAAGATATTGTAGCTTTTGTTGTATCACTGAAAAACGGACTAAATGCTATATCTTTAACTTTAAACGAGCAATTCTTGTATATTTATTTATTTACTTATACGAGTATATACCTGTGATCTTGGAAACGGCTCTAACGATTTCGCTGAAATTTTGTATGTGGGGGTTTTCGGGGGCGAAAAATCGATCTACGTTAATTTCGCACGTTCGAGCAGAAAGCATCGTGGTCAAGCGGCCAAGGCGCAAGATTTTCAGTCATGACAGATGTCCAGTTTCGAATCCCGGTTGGATACAAAGTTTTTACTTTTTGTTTTTTTTTTTGTATTTATTCAATTTTTTTTTTCTACTTCTGGCCAAAAACTCCGAGCGAGGCTCGGTCGCCCAGGTACTGCAATTTGACTACCAAGCAGACTAACTGTGCATTCCATAGAAATAGTTCAATAAGACTAGAGTAGACTGAAAATTCATGAATTTTGTTTTCATTAAGTATTTCAAAAGAGCTAATTAGGGTCTGAATAAAACGATAGCGAGTAAATAATTTTCTTAATAATTGAAGTGTTTGATTGTAATGTCCATATAACAGCTTTTTACTAAGTACTTACAAGAAAAAATCATTTTTTTTTATCTGTCTGTCTGTTTGTTCCAACTAATCTCCAACACGGCTGGACCGATTTTGACACGTATTTTACTCGCAGATAGTTGATATTATAAGGAGTAACTTAGGCTACTTTTGTTTTAGAAAAATAATTAGTTTTCGCGCAAAATTGTATATAAAATCTGCATACATAGTTTATAAAAAGAAAACTACTACAGTTGACAATGATATCACACTTGGTCCTTTTATTTATACTTTTACCTATTTTAGCACATCTATACTAATAATTTAAAGAGGATTTTTTTTTGTTTGTTTGTACCGAATAAGCTCCGAAACTACTGGACCGATTAAAATGAAATTTGGTAATAAGATAGTATGAGACCATGGGAAGGACAAAGGATATTTATCCTGAAAATCATCCCTTAAGGGGGTGAAAATGGGGATAAAAGTTTGTATGGGGAATCAACCTATGGATGAAACGAGCGAAGCGAGGGTGAGTCGCTTGTTTACCATAATTCTCTATTAGTTTTCATTAAGACATGTTCATATATCAAGCGACAGCTTGCAGTAACTTTCACAAACTCTTTCTACGCCAAGTGCCGTCTGCACACGTATTAGTTTTATTTTCAACATTTACTTTTGTTTTCAGTACTTTCTAACTTGAATAGATGTTATTATATACGATGTGTGAAATTATGCGTATAAAATTTTTTAATCGGTGCTTTCGAAATGCTTTCATACAAACAATGTTAAGTGTATAATTCTTTACTCAATTATAATATTTAGATACAAATATCATTCAAAATTTAAGAAAATGAGACTTAAATAATTTATATGCAATAAGCATATATTTTAGTTTTAAATTAGAATATTTAAAAATCAAACTGAACTTAGCAAAAATGATATTAAAATTATAGTAATACTAAGACGTCAGAATAAAAAATATATTTGTTAGTTACTCAATTCAATCCATACTAATGTTATAAATGCCAAAGTAACCCTGTCTGTCTGTTTGTCACCTTTTCACGCTTATCAGATTTTAATGTGGTATAGAGACAGTTTGAGACCCTGGGTAGAACACAGTATAGCTTTAATCCCGGAAATCATCCCTTAAGAGGATGGAAATTTTATGGGAAATGATCATACATACGTATATATAGTATATCTATTCCATACTAAGCGACAAAACGTAACTAAGGACAAACACGAGCGAAGCGAGGGTGAGTTGCTTGTAACGATATAAAATAATTGATATTAAACAAAAGCATGCGGAGCTCTACGTGTACATGAATGTTATACTAAATACTTGCTATGAAGTCTCGTGTCATAAATTTACATTTTACACGCCCTATAAAAAAGGGAACTGTGTACATGACACTAAAAGCCACCAATCTTAAAAGGAGTACCACAAGGGTCAATTTTAGGTACTCTGTGTTTCCCTCCCACCTACAAAGGCTTCGAACAACGAAAACCCGCGACATAGTTACTAAAAGTTTCAGACATCGAGTGCTTTTACGCTCAAGCTTTTAAAAGCCAGAATATCAAGACACATAAAATAGGCGATAATGCTCCATTTTGTGTTACGACAAAAGGTTCGCAGGGGTCTGAACTATTTGGACGATTTTGGCATCTTTTATGAGTCTCGTGATTTAGACTTATGACTTTTATGACGTTAAGCGACAATCTTTAGAAATGTGCGCAAGCTTTACATTTTCAGTGAGTGAAAGTTCTATATACTATACACAAGTAAGCTTTGTACAAGCTTTAATTAATGATAATTAACAAATAATAATTTTAAATATTTAGTACTAAATGAATATACCCAATATCGGGCTATTATTATAAATGCGAGAATATATACCAAATGTATGTATATATATGTATCTTAGTTACTGAATACACGCTGAAACAGCTGAACCGATTTGGATAAAACTTAGAATACAGAATAATTATGATCTGGACTAATACAGAGGGAAGCACCCGAGTAAAGTAAAGTTGTATAAAAAATGTTTTTAAACAAAAGAATATTTAACATTACGAACAAAGATAATCTTTAAAAAATATTACAACCAAAAAATTTCGCTAAAGAAATGTCCAATATAACGATAGGTCGATCAAATATCGTTCGCAGTGATGGATTGATTTTATTAAGAAACCATTTTTATTGTCATCAAAAATATGACTGATCTTTTTTAATATAAAACCGAAAAAGCCTTAGATTTAAGTTCATTATATAATTTAATTTTTTTGTTGTAATGTGGAAGTTTCTTTGTTCTCTTTATAGAGTCAGTCTTACAGAGTAGCAGAACCCGCGGTTTTACCCGTGTTTAAAGTACAAAAAAACTAACTCTTCTTTGCCTTCCCTTTACAATAATGTATGGAAGTCTGCCCGATTTGTTGACATTTATGATTACTGCTCCACTCTGTAGAGTAGTAGCATGACGATATATAGCCTATAACAGCATAAACGGGCTACCTAATGCTAAAAGAATTTTTAAAATCGGATTAGTAGGCCCTGAGATTAGCGCGTTTAAACAAACAAACAAACAAACTCTGTCTCTTTATAATATTATAGATAAAGTAAGTAACTAAATAAAAAAAATTCAGAGACATTTAATATTTTTTTTGCTTTATAATATGATTAGCCTGAATAATTTATATATATATATATATATATATATATATATATATATATATATATATATATACACACAATTTATATATTCGAAACCTTAGCCTTAAACCAAAAAACATTCAACACTACCTTTAAAATAACCGAATCTCAAATTTTTATCATTCAACATTCAATTTATATTATTCATTTACCATAATTTGCAAAGATAAATAAAATCAAATTGCCATTCGCACTCAGCTAAGTGGAACGGAGTTATTAAATCGGCCATACGATCGAATGCCTTTAGCCTTTTATAAGAGACCTTTTCTAATGAGTCTTAGAGCTGGTAACAATGGTGATTGTTAGTTTCTTTTATCGTTTTGATATCTAGAGCATTATCAGTATTTATTACGAACTGTTCAAATTGTTTTTACGTTGAATGAGGTTATAGCTATAGACTAGATTTTACTTGTGGGTTTTCTCCCATTTGTTACCAAAAAATACGTTTATAAGGTACTAAAAGGTTAATCCTACTAATATGTAAGAATGTATGTATGGATGTATGTTTGTTACTCTTTCACGCCAGAACGGCTGAACGGATCTGGATGAAATTTGGCACAGAGATAGATTATAGTCTAATTTAACATGAATGCTTTTTATCCCGGAAAAATATACGGTTCCCGAGGGATAGATTTGTTTTTGTTTTTCTAGAAGCGAACCCGAGCGAAGTGAGAGTGAGCCGCTGGTATGATTATAAAATAATAAAAGATAATAAAGGAAGAATAAAATTAGGTTGCGACACTAATTGCTTAACAGTAGCCTGAGTGTTACTCGATGTCATAATTTAGCTGTGTAACAAATTTCATCGAAATCGGTCAAGCCGTTACAGCGGCAAAGAGCAACAAACATCCCCATCGAAGGAGGCCAATGGGATAAAAAAGGATAGAATACGACTACAAACATACACACAAACAAACTTTAGCATTTATAGAGGTAGTCGGATATATAATTATTCTTATATTTTTTATACTCCAATAATCACATTTGCTCGTATTATACTATTGCCTACGCTGTCACAAGTGTGTCTCCAATTGAACATTTTGTATGGAGAAACGTAAAACGTGTGCTGAAGCTATATTGATTTTACTTGGCTGGTTCATATAAATAACCTCGCTCCGCTCAGGTTCATTTCTAGGAACGTTTTAACGACTAACCAAACTAACTAAAAAGTATTCTATATGTCGACCCGAGTAATAAGTTAACTACACAAAATTCAGTCACAATCGATCCAGTACTTTTTGTGTGAAACGCAAACACACAAACAGACATATATACAAAAATCATATAAAAAGGAGGAGGTTCTCAATTCGTCGAAATCTTTTTTTTTGTATTTCATGTACCAATTTCGCTAAGTTATAGTTTCATTATACATAGTATGTATAAATATCAGATTACAAAGAAAAAGTAATTGTAAATTTTTACTTTCGTCTTTAATTCTGCTACCTGAAGTGCGAGGGTGTTTCGCAATATTCCTGTAGGATTACAGCCGTAACGTCGATTTGATCTGTAATCCTCTTAACTTAAATAATTGCTTAGACTCTGACTCCAAGTGTCTATTTCTACTTAATCAGTATAAATTGATATAATTTAAAAAATATATTACTTTAATTAACTAAACCTAAGTGCCAGCTGTAGACGAAATCAAATGCGATTTTTTATCTATACAGATAAATAAAATTGAAGTGTCTGTTTGTAATGTTAAAATAACAGCTTTTTACTACATGCATAAGAAAGTATAAACGGTACTCATAATAAAAAAAATCATATTTTTTTTGTCTGTTCTGTCATATATTATTTTTCTTGAAAACAAAAAAAAAACATTAATTTCTCTTAATATTCTCTTAATAATGCGAAGAGCGATATAAATCAAATTATTGATTGTAAAATATTTTATTCATATTAAATTCTCATTAGTACAGTTGCTTAACACTAACAGCCTTGGATTCACTTTTCAATAACTTCTCTATTGTAGAGTCAGCAACAGTTTCTTTGTTTAAAGTAAATTTTAATATTATTTGGTGTCTTAGCTTAGAACCGTAATATTATGGGAATAAATATGATGTATAATGAACAAAGTAGAAAACCTTGGATAGCTTTAAGTTCGCTCGTGGAGTGAAGGGATTCAAAAGAGAATATGGCTTTTTATCAGCGAAATAATAGGACAATAATCATTTATAAGTACAACACCAGTGTGATGGAGCTTCGCTTGGTGTCTTTTGTGAAATCATGCTTTTTAGGAAAAATTGAGAAGACAGCTACATATGTATACACATAAATTTAAAAAGCAAGCCCTCCTCTGAAGACCAAATTTGAACCAAATCGTTAGAGCGGTTTCCGAGACACACGATATATTTTTATATATATGTACATTTATTTATACAAGAATTGCTCATTTAATATTATAAGATATTTATATAATATTTTTTAGATGAAACCTATTGTATATTAAAAATTGTTTTTTCAAAGTATATGCATTTCTCATATATAGAAAAGTGATTAAAAAAATCATATCTTTTAAATATTTTGTCTGTCTATCAATAGGGATTAATAAACAAAAATTTGATTTCGTAGCGAATTAATTTGAAAAAAATATAATAGTATATATAATTAACCGTAATTTTTATGAAAAATATATAATCGTTATCGATAGTTTATTTGATAAAACTTATAAATTTCATGTTCTTATTTAAGGATAAATTAATTATTATACTATAGTTATTATGTAATTTTCCATTATTTTCAGAACGTGATCCTCAAATTCTCTGCTATTTGACATCCTGGTCGTCCAAACGCCCGAGCTCTGGACGATTCACGCCAGAAAACGTTGATCCAACACTCTGTACCCATGTTATTTACGCTTTTGCTACTCTAAAAGATCATAAACTTGCTGAAGGAGATGAAAAGGACGCTGATATGTATGACAAAGTAGTCGCTTTGAGAGAGAAGAACCCGAATTTGAAGGTGAGTTTCGTTATAAAACATTTTTAATGGTTGTATGTATTGTTGTTGTTGTATTCAGCCCTTTTTTTTAACGTCCCACTGCTGGGCACGGGCCTCCCTTCAATACGAGGGGATTCAGGCCATAGTCCACCACGCTGGTCAAGTGCGGGTTGGCGGACTTCACATGTCTTTTGAAAACTTGCTAGTTTCTCTCAGACATGCAGGTTTCCTCACGATGTTTTCCTTCACCGTAAGGCAAATGGTAATCATGTTAGAAATGATTCGCACATGAAAATATCAGAGGTGCGAGACCCGGGATTTGAACTCGCTTCACTCGGTTTCCCAAGCGAGCGCGTTACCACTGGGCTACCACTGCCTTTTTTTATTAATAGAGGTTAATTAAATTCTTTAAATTCCGCTAAGTTTGAAGTTTGGTTGAAACTAAGTCGTCCTACATTATTGTTATCAAATCGATTGAAAAATTATTTCATCGATATTGATATACGTTATCAAGAGCGGAGCCCGCAAAACTAAAATTTTAACAACTAATAAACTTTTGTTTGTACCAAAATTAAGACATATTATTGTAATACTATACACTATATTATAATAACACTGTACTAAAAAGTATATTTTTTAACTTGATCATTTTAAAGTGTCACTAATACAATCGGGTTCGTTATTCAAAAAGAATTTTTCAAATTAAATTAGTAGTAGTTTCTGATATTAGCGCGTTCAAACAAACAAACAAACAAATAAACAAACAAACAAACAAACAAACAAACAAACAAATAAACTCTGCCTCTTTATAATATTAGTATAGGTAATAATAATCAATTCAAAAACATTGTACTTTTATACTCGACTACCATTTTTCTACACGGAATCTTTTTAATAGTGCATTTCAATACAAACACAATTGGCATTACTCACAATAGGTTTAATCAAACCTAGTATAAAACAATCGCGTGGATTTAAAATAGAAACATTTTAATTAAACGGCTTCTACACTGACGTTGCTAGCTTTCTAACTTGTTTACCGTTCAAACAATTGCCATGATATAACTATGCCCACTCGCTTTGCTCAAGCATTTGTACATAATTTATCCGAAATGTGGCAATACTTACTAAAGTATACATACGAAATATTACCTGTACAGTGAAACTGCGGAAGTTAAAAGAAACGTGTGTGGCAAGTTTTATATATCTCTATGTAGAGATACCTGCACAGTTAAAATCAGCAGGTAAACCCGAGCATGCAGTTAAAGATAGCTGTACAGGTACTAGCAAAACAGGCTTCTATTAACCTATGCAGTTTCGTCGTTCAGGGAGAACTACGCTGGTATACCCGCAAATAGATTCTATATGAAATAAAACGCTTGTCAATCTATACTAATATTATAAAGTGAAAGAGTTTTTTTGTTAATTAGTTTGTTTGTTTGAATGCGCTAATCTCAGAAACTACTAATAGCTTATATTTGGACAATATCAAAGCCTAAATCATCATTCAGTAAATTAGTGCGTTTGTACTTATCTCGACAAGCAGTAACATGCTTTTGAAAAGTTTTTCACTAAAGAAAATACATTATAGACAAAACTAGTTATTTTTATATATATATACACTGTAATTTTTATTCGTTTACCCATAATTAATTTGGCTCACTTTGTTATTTTAAGGTTTTTGTTATTTTGTAAACTTCAAACATTAAGTTTTATTAAAGCTTTAGCTTTATTAAAAGACTGAAACATGCGTTTAATATTTTCAAAGTTATTATCTAAACGATAATAATTCCGTGAAATTTTAATTAGATAGTACAAAGAGAAGAAGTTTTTATCAAGCAAATATTTTGAATACTTATTTTTAAAATGAAAATCTTGATAGAACTAAAGCATGAAAAAATATTGTCGTTTGAGAAAAAAATTGTAAACATAACCGCTATTCGCAAGGGGTACAGATGTTAAGACTACTCCAAGCTATTGTCTAGTTTACAATACTCGTAACTCGTCTTGAAGACGTTTCAAGTGCCAATCTGCCTGAGACGGAATCCTATTATGGTGTTTGTCTCGAGAGGCAATATTATGTTTGTTCTAATATTATCTGTAAACTGTGAAAGTTGTGTTTTCTTGTAAATACTTTATTGTAGTTATATTCTTTTGTGATGTGATGAGAGTGATTTTATACGATGCGACAGATTTAGACTACAGTATGAAGTTAGTCGTTATTGGCTACAGTGTGAAGTTGTTCGTATGATAAAAAAAGTCTATAATCAAGGTATATATTAAGGTATTTTGATATACACATCACGTGTTTGGTATCAATAAAAAGAAAAAATATTACAATCTTTTATTAAGTTTCACTTGTCCCGGTGTCTGTCTGTAATCAAATCTTGCAAGTTAAGTTTGGCCCACTTTCCAGTGTTCGATTGAGTTGAAATTAGGTATACACTTTTGGTTCTTGTGACATTGCACGATTACTTGAATACCGCCATTTTCAATCGAATATGGTGGACGTCACAAAATGGCGTCATTTTCAAAATAACCCCTATGATATGGGCATCAAATGAAAGAGTTTAATGAGCTAAGCAAAGTCACGTCATTATAAATCCAATATGGTGGACTCCCAAAGATGGTGGACTATATTTTTTATGCACCCCCATAATTTGCTGAGAAAAATACGAATAAAATAAAAACTAAAAAAAAGTAAAAAGAATCAATAAATAAAAAAAAACTTTTATTTAAACGCTTAAAAATAAATAATAAAAACAAAAAAGTATAACTTCTTACGTGCGTACTTAAGTACACACTCAAGAATAATATAGAAAATGAAAAGAAAGATAACAAAAAGGTATGCAAAGGCGGTCTTATTGCTATGAGCAATCTCTTACAGAAAACCTTTGGTGAAAGGATTAATGAAACCGTGAACATGGCGGTACAATTAATACTACTTATAAACATGCTCAAAAATATACGTATATTACATATGTATATTCTGTATATTTATATCTCTATATCATTTAAAAACGAAACGCTGTTCATTATTAAGCGCATTATTAAAAGCGGCTGGATCGATTTGACTTTTGTTTTGAAAGATTATTCATAATAGTCCAAATAAAGATTTTAGAAACAAAAAATGAAATATTTTGCAAGAAAACTGAGACATTCGGAAAAAACTTTGTGTATAAACTCAAAGATAGCAAATAAAATTGTAATTTAGACATTATAATGTCGGGTCCCTATGTGTCTGATATATGGGGTAGGTAGTATATATACATACATACATACTGGAATATTACTTGAAATAAAAATCTTATTCATCGCCTGTTTATTCTCACTAATCTGTGGAACTTCTGGTAAACAATACAAAAACTAAACGGAATTTTTACTGTCATATTTGAGGATTTTTAGGGTTTTTTTCTAAATAGCTATATAAAAAAACGGATGAATATTATTTACTATCATAACCATCGTAACATTTTATTGCAAAATATAAAGGTATCCTTAAATAAGATTTAAGCACCTTATCAATCGATAACGTTTATAACACCTTATCTCTACATAGAGTCCCCAACACGTGTGTTTTACGAGCACCTCCATGAACACTAATAAAAACTAAAATAAAACGAAAAATCTTCAAGTTACTATAAAATTTTCGCAAAAGGCGAACGGAATTTTGATTTCTTTTCGTAGAGCTCATATACAGTATGATCTTATTTTAATATTAAAAAAAATATTGTCTGTATTAATACTTTCCTGTAAGTATTAATTCAAGCGTATGTTAATAGTTTAATCAAATTCGTTAATTTAGTTGGTCATTCAGTTAATATAATACCGTTTTATTTTACAATTTCTAATGAACATGCTATACGAGCACAATTATGATATAAATAATGAAAACTTAACAAGAACATTAAAATTATATTTAAACCGTAGGTATGTATGTATGTGAATATAAGTTATTCGAAATATTATTGCGATGATGAATTCATATTTGAGGGTAGATTAAAAAAAAACTTTTAAACAAATAAACCAGCCTTTACAATACTTTCTTTAAACTGTGGGTTATAAGTAAATATTAAATTTTTAGATTCTCCTTGCAATCGGTGGTTGGGCGTTCGGTTCCACCCCCTTCAAAGAGCTGACGTCCAACGTGTTCCGCATGAATCAGTTCGTGTACGAAGCGATCGAGTTCCTGAGAGACTATCAATTCAACGGTCTGGATATAGATTGGGAATACCCTAGGTGAGTTAACGTCTTCACTGCGTTTACTTAGCTTTGTGGATATTTACATAAAATATTGTAAGGACTGTAGTTTTTTTTTAAATTAATGGTGAATTTTACCTTTTTAGAGCTTTGTTTTTGGGAATTAATTTGTTTGGAAATCAAAATTCCGGATGAGATCAGTTTCATATGAGACACGAATCATATTACAGTAGAATTTAATATTCGTTTAAAATCATATCTTTGGCACCTTTTAAGTTAAGATGTTTATTTGAGAATCTTTAGCTATCATTTATAATACAAATAACGGTAATATTATAAAGATGATTTTTAGTATGTTTATGAAAATGTATTTTATGAAAATTCGGAATGGGAATTTCAAATTATTTCAAAGTACCAGTACCAGTACCATTCACTTAGTGAATTAGCCACGATTTTTATTTTAAAAGTGTACCATATGCATTATAAAAGCTAAGCACTTTGACAATAAGCCCTTTTACATACAAAGAACCATCGTAAAATTCTAACACGTTTTTTCCATCTTATAAGACTTAGATGTGAAATCTCACTTAGCTTTGCCTGAATATGTAAGGTGTTGCTATTATGATACTATTACGGGCTATAAACAGTTTTTTTTTTCAACGTTCAATTTCGATGCTATATTCTTTTTTACGATGACGCGCTCATTTCTTTTCATATTTTCTTTGTTGTTGGGAGAATTGTTGTGCTATGGTTATACCGTTCACTGTCTACTTAGATGGAAAACATAGGTTATGTAATTTTCTAAGTAAAAAGTCTACAGATTTTAACAAAAAAAGACTGCAAAAGGTATATTTTCTTCCACAATCTTTACTTTTTCTTCAAATTTTTTCTTCAAATATTTTTTTTATAATTCCTTTCTTTTCTTTAAGTCCTTTAAAAGCGAATAAAATTTATAGAGATAAAATTTATGATAAGAAAACGCCTAAATATAGAATTTATTGAAATTAGTATGTGAGACCACTCTTAACGAATAAAAAAAATATGACGTAATCCACAAAAAAAACGTACACCATCGAATCAAACGCCATTTTTTTTTTGAAATACGTCAAAAATATATCCGTAATTAATACAAACATAATATGTCTATAACAGAGGAGCAGACGACCGAGCAGCTTTCGTATCACTTCTCAAAGAACTTCGTCTGGCCTTCGAAGGTGAAGCCAAAACATCAGGCCAACCACGTCTTCTCCTCTCAGCCGCTGTACCAGCATCTTTTGAAGCGATTGCCGCCGGATATGATGTACCGGAGATATCTAAATATTTGGTAAGTTAAATAAAAGTATACATCTATTCAGGCTTTTTCGCGGATTTTTTTAAAATTAACAAATATTGCAAGGTACTTTGGTGCCGTTTTTGTATTTTTGAAATAATTTTGTAAGCTTGTGGGTATGCATTGTCTATAACGAGTATCTGACTTTTGAAACGTTTAAAACCGAGCTTTAAGGCGAAATAGAATAAAGGGTAGAGTGTACGCGCACACACAGTATCTCCTGAACACTAGCCTAAGACAAAATTGGCCGGAGTAGCCGAAATCGGTTAGGTTAGGACCTATTTATATAATATACATATATATGTAAATGTAAAAGTAATTGTCTATAAAAAAATCTTATGTTTTGCTTATTTTCATTAAGTCTTTCGTTATTCCAATAATACTATAAGTATTTGTTGCAATGATTATTTTATATAGTTTAGTTAAAATATAACCTTATATACATACTTAGTTGTTCAATATAAGTATATCTTTTTGAATTTATTTCTCAAATATATATATATGTGTGTGTGTGTGTGTGTGTTTTTTACAATATATTAGACAGTAAATTAATTATACTAACAACATAGCATATTTACAGGATTACATCAACGTAATGACGTACGACTTCCACGGCCAATGGGAGCGCCAGGTCGGACACAACAGCCCTCTCTTCCCCCTGGAGAGCGCTACGAGCTATCAGAAGAAGCTCACCGTGGTAAGTTAACTTAGCTTATTTTTAAAGAGTCTATTGCGGATATCTTGTTCTCGCTCGTATATATCACGTTTCATTACTTAATTATAAAACTTTGTATTTTTTATAAGCATAAATCTTCTGAGAAATATGCTCTAAATGATAGTGAAAACCGTATCCAAATCGGTTACGTGTTTTTTTTAAGTGCTAACCGCGCCATTAGACGCGTGCAGCGCCGTGCTCTTTGTTTTATACTTTAAGGGTTATCTTATTTATTATAACTAGTTTGGTCCTGTGATTTTGCACTTGGGATAAATTGTTGATTGTTGGGATAAAATTACCTACTACTAACTACATACCCTTGCTTCGCTCGAAAGTGTCCTTTGGTGCCCTTTGTATTTATAATAATTTATACACCTGGCGCCACCTTTTGGCAAATTTTATTACTAAAGTTACCCCATCTGTTACCCCAGGACGTAATCTGCGTACTAAATTTCATACAAATCCGTGTTCCAGCATGAAAGATTAATAAATACGTGTTTACTGTGTACACAATATATAAACTGTCATATTTATTATAGTACTGCGATTATTATTTGGTTCTTTTGTTTATTAATACTACCTGATTTTATCTATACTAATATTATAGAGAGGCAGAGTCTATTTGTTTGTTAGTTTGTTTGAGCGCGTTAATCTCAGAAAGTAATAATCCGATTTGACAAAATTTTAGCATTAGATATCCCGTTTATTAAGGAAGGCTATAAGCTATATATCATCATGCTACTACTCAAGGGAGCGGAACAGTAATCATAAATGTCAACAAATCTGGCAAACTTCCATACATTATTACTAATAGCATAAAGCTATAGAGTCTTTTTGTAGCTTTCTTCTAATCAATGATAATTATGATAGAAACAAAAATATCATAGAGCTGTCGCTGTTAAAACCAATGCTTATTCTTCTCAGAGTACTGCGCGGTATAAGTTTACAAGTTAAAAACAACTCCATGCTTTTAATAGTTTAGACGGAGTTTTTATCATTTTTCTTATTTCTTAACTCTCTTCGTCGCTCGGATAGCAACTTTATAAATTGTTTACTAAACGTTTTTAATATCGAGACGTAAATATTAGTGTAGTTGCAAAAAATATATCTTCTAAGGAGTATTGTGTACTAGTTTATGCCGCCGGTTCTACTTGTGTATCTCATACTAAGCTATATTCATCAGTGGGCTTCCCTTTAATACGAGGGGGATCAGGTCTTAATCCACCACGCTGGCCGAGTGCGTGGCGGACAAGCATGTCTTTCGAAAACTTGCTAGGTTCTCTCAGACATGCAGGTTTCCTCACGATGTTTCCCTTCACCATTCATTAGTATAGTATATTATGATAATTGTAGCCTGTGGCTTTGCACGCGTGCATTTCTTTTTAACCGACTTCAAAAAGGTTGTATGTTCGTTTATATACGACCGATATATTACGGTCTTATAATCCTATAGATTCGGCCTCTGAATCGATAATAATGAAATTTTTCACTTAGAATTTTATTATATGTATAAATAGAGATATAACAGACCATTGAAAGCGTAACCCACACGAGGTCGGCTTTTAATATTAATATAAATAAATATGTATGGACTCTAAAACGTTAAAGTTTAATTAAAAAGTTATTTAAAACATATATTTCCGTAAGTTTACGGCTTTCGTTGAATAATTAATGAGTTGAATAATTTACTGCTGCGAAATTAATTTCCATCTAGATTTGCTTTGGTTTGGTTATAAATAAATTTACTATTAATGCTGCACTTTCAATGGTTTCCAAGAGGTTATAGAGTTCTATGACATATATACAGACATATAAATATTTATATGTTCAAGATATGCATTTGCCTCGAGCTGAACTCGAACTTGCGACCGCTAACCGTAAAACTGACGTGTTAGTAATATAGTTATATTTTATTTAATATTATAAATTATTTAAATGCTTCTTTTATTACATTCGCTTGTTAATTAATTAAAACAAAGTAAATAAATCTTCTAAGGCTATTTTTCCCTACTTCAAACTGCAAAGTCTATTAAAAATTTGATAAACACGTAGGTATACCCATTCCCATTTTCACACCCTTAAGGGATTATTCCCGGAATGAAAAGTCTTCAATGTCCTTCCCAGGGTCTCAAACTATCTTCTTACCAAATTTTATCTAAATCGGTTCAGCAAATCTAGAGATTACCGCCTACAACGTCACAAACTCACAATTCGCAAACTCATAAACTTAACCTCTTTATAATATTAGTATAGATAATAATCCATACAGATAAATAAAATTGAAGTGTTTGTTTGGAATATCAAAATATCAAATGTACCTACTCATATGAGAAATTATATACGGTACTTATAAGAAAAAAATATTTTTTTATTATAATTTAAATATTTGTCTGTATTTCTGTCTGTTTGTTTATTCCGGATAACCTCCAAAACATCTGGACCGATTTTGACGAAACTTTCACTGGCAGATAGCTAATATTATAAGGAGTAACTAACGCTACTTTTATTTTAGAAAAATAATTAGGGTACGGTAAATAAAATTAAAAAAGTATATATAATATATTAATGCCTATTTATTCATTTGTGTGTAAAAATCGTGTTTTCTTTTCAGGACTATTCCGCTCGCGAGTGGGTACGTCAGGGTGCCCCCAAAGAGAAGTTAATGATCGGAATGCCGACGTACGGGCGGTCCTTCACTCTTATCAATGAAACTCAGTTTGATATCGGAGCTCCTGCTTCTGGTGGTGGTAAGTTTCCTTTACAAGTTTCTATCATAATATTATGTATGTTTTTGTTCGTGACTCTGTTCGCATTTAACTCTTTAATTATTTACAAAAATAAAAAAAAATCCCACTGCGCAAAAAGCGAACTAAAAAGATAAGAACAAGTTGACGAAGAAACATAGTTTTAAATAAAACTATCTTTTCGGATTTCGGATTTGGGATGAATGTTTTACAGCAATCATGATCGCGGGGGAGCTTTGAGACAAATCAAAATAAATCCGCGAAAAAATCCGTAAAGATAGTTTAATTTAAAATGTCAAATATTCGCGTAAATCTAAGAAAGTATTAGAAGAAACATAATATTATGCAGTCGAAGACTCAAGTTTTATACTAATTGCACGTCTTGCTTGTCTTGCGTCCTTTTGGTTTTGTCACAGTCGGGTAAAAAGATATAGTTTAAATATATTTTTATGTTTGTTTACAATTTGTTTTGATTATGTTAATTGTTAGTCATGTTATAGTGCAAAGTTTTATAACTAATAGTGGTGGTAGATCCTTTACTGAGCTCGTAACTAAATGGGTGTTCGAGCATATTGCATTTCTACAGTGCAAAGTTTTATAACTAATAGTGGTGGTAGATCCTTTACTGAGCTCGTAACTAAATGGGTGTTCGAGCATATTGCATTTCTACACTGCAAAGTTTTAAGCCATAACTACGAACTGCTGTTAAAATAACTGGAAAATTGTTGGCTTAAGTTTAAATACAATATATAATGAACTGCATAATGTTTTTATTTAGCCTATATTTTGTTTGGGGTTTAACCAATATTATAATAAATATAGAACAAATGGAATAAACTAATGGGGTTTTATTGGAATTCCTCAACAAGTCAATATTATTATTAAACGAGCGATTCTTGTATGTATGTATGTATATATTATGTATATTTATTTTGTGTTTCTCAGAAAAGGCTCTAAAGATTTGTATCAAATTTTGTATTTAGATACGGTTTTGCTTTTTTAGTTTATCTATATAGGTGTATTTTTCAATAAAAACCTAATTTTTATATCTTTTCCGAAAAGCACGATTTCACAATAAAACCAAGCAAAGCTCGATCGCCCAGGTTTACCTATAATATACATCAAGATATACATTACGTAGTCATTCATTCCATAAATAAATCGCCTATCTTTGGACAAGTTTTATCCAAATCTTTTGATTGGTTTCACCGTAATGTAATAACAAACATACGCACATACATACAAACTTTTAAATTATTTATGTAGAATGTTACTTAGGTATCCTAACTGACATTCTAAGTTAAAAGTAAAAACTACAACGGAAATAAAATATGAAATTGTGTGTTGCGAATTTCAATTGAATATTTCAAACTTCAGCTATCGTGCCTTGGGTACCATTTATTTGAATTTTTGATACATACATTCAGCAGCGGGCAACATATGGCGCTTAAAGCGAAAATGAATAGAGATACTGCGATAGTTTTCTCCAAAAATGTTATAAATCTGTGCCACAGAGAATAAAATGCTCTTTTCTACGTATATTTTTACATTTTCTTAAAATAGTTTCTATATTGTTTTCTTTTTCTTTTGATTAATTTATTGAACTATTCATATTTATATGTAATATAACGGTTAGTATAGATTTCTTAGAGATGAGATATTTTCCCGTAGTAAAAAGTATCATAAACGTTGACCTAGATAACCAGCTATCATTATACAAAATTTCATCAAATTCTGCCCAATGTTTTTCTCATGATGAGTTCCCAGACTTATAGACAGACAGACAGACAAAAATTCCAAAAACGATAGATTCGACCTATGTATCGATAATAATGACTATTTCAATAAGATTTTCCAAAAAAATATTTAATGTACAGATTCGGTTAATGTTAAAATGTTTTATGTTAAGAGAAGTTATGGTGCTTTTATAATAATCATTATATCATGTTTTTGACCCCCGACGCAAAAAGAGGGGTGGTATAAGTTTGACGTCGAAGTCTGTCTGTGGCATCGTAGCTCTCAAGCGGATGGACCGATTTCGATGCGGTTTTTTTTCATTTGAAAGCCAGTTTCCTTGCTAAGAACCATCTTAGCTATGTTTGGTTAATATCGGTCCGGCTGTGTAAGAGTATCGGCTCTTTTCCAAAATGATGTAAGGCATTTTGGTGTATTGATTACTCGATTAAGTGCTACACGCGTGCTAGTATAATCGTTAAATGACAATTAATTTGCGTAGGGAATTTTTTTAATTTATAATTTTTTATAGTGTGAAGTGTTTATATAATAAGTATAGTATGATAAAAAAGCTCTACTTTATGTAAAGCTCTCATGCACTCATTAAATACATTAATTTAAAATTTTTTTTTTTAATCTTGAAGAGATCATAGGTTTTAATTTTCTTATAACTTACTTTCCAGGTAAAGCCGGTCGTTTCACGAACGAGGCGGGATTCATGTCGTATTATGAAATATGCGATTTCCTTCGCGAAGATAACACTACACTTGTATGGGATAACGAACAGATGGTACCTTTCGCCTACAGAGATGACCAGTGGGTCGGCTTCGATGATGAAAGGTCTTTAAAGACTAAGGTAATTATAATATTTGTATAAAAATATTTGTTTAATTAGATTTAATATATTCATTTATTAGCGTTTATTTACTTAATGCATTCATTTATTAGCTTTTATATCTCGAAATAGTATTATCAATACTAATATTATAAAGAAGCAGAGCTTGTTTTTTTGTTTGAATGAGCTAATCTCAGAAACGAGAGTTTCTTTCGCCAGTTCTTCTCAGGTCTGAGGCTTGTTCTTTCCGAACTGGTAGTAGACTCATGACGTTCAGTAAAAAATTGTAATAATTTAATGCTGAATAAAATATTTTAAATTTGAATTTGAAAAAAAACTACTAATAAGATTTGAAAAAATATTGTTACGAGTACTAGTACGAGTATCGAGGGAACGGGGCAGTAATCATAAATGTTACCAATTCGTGCAGACTTCCATACATCTTTACTAATAGCATCGTCAAGTCAAAGAGTTATTTTTTGTAGTTAGCGAACGAAGGCGTGGGTTCTGCTAGTTACTATATAATTGCCTTATAGAATTATTGGTTTATGGTGTAAACTATATTCAGATGACATGGCTCAAAGAGGAAGGTTTTGGTGGTATCATGGTGTGGTCGGTCGACATGGACGACTTCCGCGGCTCGTGCGGCGCCGGCAAGTTCCCGCTGCTGGCCGCCATGCGCCGCGAGCTCGCCGACTACCGCGTGCGCCTCGAGTACGACGGGCCATACGAGACCTACATGCCTAACGGGCAGTATACCACTAAAAATCGTAAGTAGTTGTAATTTTTTTTTGTTATGTTGGTGCTAAATGGTCATGTTGGTACTTTGCACTAGCTGGTCATGTTGTATTTTGCATTAGCGGGTCAAACGGGTCATACGTGCCTAAATGTACAGTATCTATACTTATAAAGTTTGTGAGTTATTGTATTAGTTGGTCATGTTGGTACTTTGCACTAGCTGGTCCGTACATGCGTGAGCTGGGTGACCACCGCGCGTGACTGGAGTATTATCCCCGTCAAGTGCCCAAAAAGTAGTATGGTACTTTGTTTTAGTTATCAAACAAGTCCCACCTGTCCTGTAACTGGTCATATTGGAATTTTACACTAGCTGGTCAAATGGGCTTTACTTATTTTAACAGGCTCCGTGTCAAATGGATAGTACACGGGCCATGACTGTTTGTTTGTATTTTGCCCTACAAATTAAAAAAAAATAATAAAAAGCAGTCATTTCGAAAAATGGCTCTACGGGATTAATTCTTGTATTTATATAAGTATTTAAAATAAATGTACTACATTGAAATTATATACATTTATACTTAATTATATATATACAAAACAATCAATGTACACTGAATCATTATTATACAAGACATGTCCGTGTGGAATTATGGAAAGAATGCTAGCCGAATTCCTTCGCTGCACAGCAATGCCAATCTTTTGGGTAAGCCAGCTCTCTTACCTATATTATAGGTACATATATAAAAATCGATGGTTCCCTATGGACTCCAAAACAGCTGGAGCGATTTTGATGAAATTTTCAGGCAATCTTTAGATTAGCCGAGCTGGCAATACTATGAAGTTTCGCTTGGCGTTTTTCGGAAAAGACAACTATATAGATAAGACACTTAAATATTAATAGATAATCGATCCCTGGCTGTTTTCAACAACAAATCTTAGATACTATGGGAACAATAATTTTTTTTGGGATAAAAAGTTCTCTATGCCTTCATCCAGAATCGAGATTCGTTCAGCCATTCTGGCGTGAAACAGTAACCAACATCCATCCAAACTTTCGCATTTTTTTTAATATTAATAATAATGGGACATTGAAATTATACATAACCTCTAAATCTATACATATAATAAAATTCTGAGTCGAATCTGTACGTGAAATATTTTTTTCTAAAATCTTATTGAAATAGACATTATTATCGATACAGAGGCCGAATCTATAGTTTTTAGAATTTTTGTATGTCTGTCTGTCTGTCTGTTACCGCATCACAGAAAAACCACTAGAGATTTTGATGAAATTTAGTATGGTGGTAGCTGGTTATCCGGGTCAACATATAGGATCTTTTTACCGCGGGAAAATATCTCATTTCTGAGAAAAAATACAAAACTGGAATGTAAAAGTATACTAATATGTAAAACCTAAAAATTTGGTTTATGGTCATCTGAACGCGGGCGGAGCCGCGGGCAATGCTAGACATATCTAAAACAGTATCGTATAGTAACTACGTACTGTATTTCAAAAATATATACGCCAGAAAGGCGGATAGTGAACTCTATTAGTTTGACGCAGCGAGAGTATATATATAATTTCGCTAGAACGTTTCGATAGCGCGTTTTAGAATTGATCAACGCCATCTAGTGTCAAAGAACAGAAACTTAGTTATCTTTTGCATTATATACATAAGTTGAATTAAAAGTAAGATATATTAAGAAATATTGATGATAATGTCATTATGACATACTAGCCAAAGCTCGCGGATTTGTCCGCGTTTAAAATGTGTTCTTTATTTTATTGTTTTCAATGCTACTTATTGATTTAAACTATTCAAGAAACTAAAATTAATCTATTATTTGAAAACAGTAAAATTTTACTGAGATACTAGGACTAACGTTCCGATAATATTAATTTATCCCAAACTAGCGGCTCACCCTCGCTGCGCTCTGGTCGTCCGTAGCTTGCTTCCCAACACAAACTTTCATCCCCATTCTCACCCCCTTAAGGGATGATTTCCGGCATAAAAACTATTTCACTCACTCACTTTTTATATCATGAGATTTAAAAACTCTTTTTTACTAACGCAATAATACCCAAAAAAACATGCTTAGAATTTTTGTTTGTTTGTCTGCGCTTTAATGCGCGCTAATCTCAGAAATAGATTTGATGTGCGGTTTTCACTAATGTATTGTGGTAATCTTCACATAACATTTAGTATTTGTTTAAATTCAATAGGCTTATAAATAAAAATGTTCTAGAATTTAAATCATCACCTAGGGACGAACCCGAGCGAGGCTGGGGTGAGTCGCTAGTATTATAATAAAATACTCACGCAAAACTATTTAAAACTATCTAGTATTTTAGGCACAAAGGCGATACTAAAATGAATTTCTCAAATGCACGAATACCACCTATTAAATTCTAACACGCAAATTGCCGACCGAACTAACTGCCCTAAATATCCAACATAAAAGCATTTTATTTACAATTCCTATATTTTTTGATATTTCAATTGAACTGCTGCGTTGACTTTGAAAGGTTATACCGCCATTTATCAAAATTGGTCTACAATTAATGAAAATATCTGTGAACATACAGATACTGATACTATGTATATTGTAAACATATATACTATTTACTTAATATCCTTTTAGCCTAAACGGCTAAAAACTTAAAAAAAGGCTACTTCAAAAATCACTAAAAAGTAAAAAATAACTGATTGGTAGTTTTCATTTACAATACATAAATTTTTTTTCGGTAGTTTTTCTTTTTGACGACACGAATGGTTCAGTTTGTTGCGATCCTACTTGCTGTGCCAGGAGTCGTGGGTTCGAGTCCCGCTGAGGGCATTCATTTGTGTGTCACGAATGTTTATACTCCAGTCACGGGTGTTTATATTTATAGTGACTGTATTTATAGTTACATATTATACATATATATTTCAACTATCTGGTATCCATAACACAAGCCTCATAGCTTAACCATGGAACTAGATGGTGCTGTCTGTTAATGTCCCAACATATTATTTTTGATCACTACAAATATATAAGAAAAATCATCTTATTTCAGCTAATGAAGTGACATGTGAAGAGGAAGACGGCCACATCTCCTACCACCCAGACAAAGCCGACTGCACCATGTACTACATGTGTGAGGGTGAAAGGAAACACCATATGCCCTGTCCCCAGAACCTGGTCTTCAACCCTAATGAAAACGTCTGTGACTGGCCGGAAAATGTCGAGGGTTGTGCTCATCATACCCAGGCACCAGCCAGGAGATAGGACTGAGGTATTCCAGACCTCTCTTTAGCTATACAGTATGCGCCACATATCTCTTAGTATAGAACTCGATTTGTATTGTAGAAAGCAATCACTTTATGTATTATCTTGTAGTGTTTTGGAATTATGAGATTTTTATAAAGAGTTTGTTTGATTATTTTGCTGCGTTTTTTGGAATTTACTTGAAAGTGGTTTTCAGTTAAATGTCGAATTAGAAGATAGTTGAGATGCAAATATGAATACATTTGTATTGGCTCATATTAAAAAAAACTATATATTTTCAAGATTGTTTCAATTTCTAAATATGCCAATAAATATATAGTTTTGCAGATTATATACTTATCGCCCTGTCAGCGAAACTTGCTCAAACTCAGGTAACACTTTTGTTAAAGACTCGATATTACAAAGTTATAATGGCTGTATTGCTTTACTAGGAGTAAATCTAACTTGTTATAATTTCTTATAATTTGATTACGCTTTGTTTGAAATTATAATTGGATATATAATGGTATGTATAGATATGTGGCAAATAACTATTACAGATTGTACTAAATCGATTATTTGAAAATAATCGAGTAAGTCGATTCGATTATTTCAAAATAACCGAATCGTTCGATATAGATATTTTACTTAGCGTTTCCGAAACAATATGTAATAGTGACTAATATTATTGCTAACAACGGAATTAACCCTTAATATTCCGATCCACCTTTAGTCTAAATCAACCCACATCGATATTTATTGGTCCAATTGATCTAATGAAAGGGTTCGTGTGATATAATGTAAATGTCTTTTTATATTATTCAATTATTATAGTTATAAAAGCCGTGACACGTGAATAAGTTGATGAGTCGAAGTTGAGTTGAAATTTTCAAACGTGATAAGTTATTTTAAATATTTTATATGATATTCGATATAAACAAAGTTTTATACAAAGTATTAGTTCCTTCAATGTTAGAGGAAACCGAGTGATGGGAGTTCGAATCCCGGGTTTTGCATCTTTATTTTCATGTGCGAATCATTTTTAACATGACTACCATGTCTTATGGTGAAGGAAAGGCTTTATCCTCCTTATATTGATAGGAGGCCTGTACCCAGCGGTGGGATGTTATGAAGGGTTGAATATACATACATTAAAGAAGTATTATAGAATCTCCACCTATTCAAAAAAATATTACCTCAGTTCTAAATAGAATTGTCAAAAGAAACACATATGTATGTATGTGCATAAGGGTTCTATCATCGATTTATCAACTTATTCACGCATATGATACTTAGACAAGTATATTATAAATAATTTGTAATTTATTTTCGATGGAGAGCATTAATATTTCTACTGACTCTTATTGTACTGCCATTCTTAAAAATTGTGTTAGATGTTTAGTGTTGTCTAATTATCATTAGGCTGTTAGTTTTCCCAAAGGTACACAATGGCGTTACTTGTGTATATAACATGTAATTTAATAAAATTTTATTTAGTATAACAATTTGTTAAATTATATTTCTTTAAATATTACGAAAGATAAAATTTTAACATAATAATTAAATTCTTAATCGATGTTTTTTAACAATTTAAGTACTTTTATTGACAAGTTTTTTTTTTCTTTTTTAAATTTTTTAATAGTTGTAAGGAAGGAATAATAATGCTTTCTTAGTCCGCGAAGAAATTCGACAAGATAGTTTTATTTAAAAAGCCAAGAACAACTCATATTCCAGGGTCTCACACTTGTGTAGATTATCTACATATATAATTTAAATGTCTTTTTGTACATGTGCGAGAAAAAAATAAAAGAAAAACAATCAAAAAATGAAATTAAATGGTCAAATAACTTAATTTATAAACAAATTTTCTTTCAAAAACAACACTGTTCGTCGATTCTTGTGTACCTTTGTGATAATATTTATTAGCTGTAACGTTAGATCCAAGCGTCTACAATTAATACTCAACTCTAATTAATCAGCAACTCCACTGCCTTCACTGTCGCTGTTTCACATTTCACGAGAGAAATAGTTTGACAGACAAATTGACAAGATCATAGTTTTATATCTTTATATTATTGTAAGTAGTAAAATAGATGTAAGTTTTTGTAAATATTGTATCTAGATACAAAGAGATGTAATGTAAGAGTATTATTAAAAAGTTTTATAAAATTATTGTTTTTTTTTTTATTATGTTTAGTTATTATATGCCTTTGTCAACTCAGTCAAGTCCTAACTTTACACATTGAATTATTTATAATTTAAGTAATATTATGAATAATTTAATATTATTATGAAATAGATAGGTATCAACCAAAAATTTTATATTGTAACCAATATATTTGTAACAAAGCCGAATCTGTACATGAAATATTTTTTTGGAAAATCTTATTGAAATATACATTATTATCGATACAGAGACCGTATCGATAGTTTTTAGAATTTTTATCTGTTTGTCTGTCTATCTGTCATCGCATCACGGGAAAATCACTGGAAAAAATTTGATGAAATTTGGTATGATGATAGCTGGTTATCCGGGTCAACATATAGGATACTTTTTACTGCTGGAAAATATCTCATCTCTGAGAAATCTATACTAACTTTAAAACGTAGAATTAAACTCAAACGGAGCGAGGATGAGTCCCTTGTAGTTCATAATAATCGAAAGTATCAAAATACAGTCAAAAACTATATATAATATAATCAATAATTTTTAAAATCTACATACCATAGAATTCTTTTATCATAAACTGAACGTTTACGATGAAACCATTTGTAAAACTTGAAAGTTTGGTCGTTTGTGGGAAAGAAACAAACTTATGAATAGCAATACAAAATAAAAGCGCGATGGAGACGCGATTTTGCTTGTTGATTGCACTTTCTTTTAGGGACTTTCCCGAAGCTTTGTTTTTGATGAGAACTTACTTGTCTTGGGTTTATGTTACTTTTTAACATTGAAAGCTCTTATGTGATATATAGGTTTTATGAAAGGGAGTTTACTAATTTTTGTCTGTATGAATGGGTGGGTATTTATGAAAACGAGAATTCAAATGAATTCTAGAATAGAAAATGAAAAAAAATCGGACAAATCCGAGTCGAATTCGTATACGAAGGGTATGACTTGTAGTAGATATAATTATATTATATATTATATATTATATATTATAACTTCGATGGTCGATTAAAAAATTTTATTGTAATTTTTTATTATTTATTGTTATAGCGACAATAGAAATACATACTCTGTGAAAATTTCCACTCTCTTCCTATTACGGTTCATGAGATACAGCCCTCTGACGCCGTTGATCCGTTGACACCCTTCGGGTACGGAACCCTAACAAAGAAAAAAACCAACGATTCATATCATAAATGTATTTATTTGAAGTTTTACGTCCATGTTATTTAAACATGTGATAATTTAAATCTTTACACATATTTCTTATTATTATCTTTTATTTGATATCCTTAACAAAACAGTAGCAAAATAATATTTTTAAACCTTCTCACTTTTTACGTGACGTAGGTACGTAAAACATATAACTAAAATTGAAAATTATGAAATAAAAAAGTAATTTAAAGACAATTAAACCGACTTCAAAAAAAAGTAAAAAATAACTGAACGGGGATATTTACTATGATGCCTAATCAGTTATTTTCGAAGTCGGTGCCAGCCGAAAATGCTTTAAGATATGAATATCTAATAGTTAAATATGACAAGGTATCATCAATCATCTTCACTTTATGATGTATCGAAATAGATATGATTTGCTTTGCACCGGCGGCACCGACTTCAAAAATAACTGATTAGATATCTATTCTAAATGAAAACCCCTATATCGGTATTCTTTGCTTTTCAGTATTTTATTTTTGGTCGGTTTTTTTGATATACAGTCGCTAACACAATTAAGGAGAATCTAATAACAAAATAGCAAACTTCGGGCTGTTACTGAGGCTTACTAAACAGAAGACTCAATAACAAAACTTGGCCCGACCCGGGACTCACACCCAATACCTCTGGATCACCAGTCGACAGCCTTATATGCTATATATGTGTATTATGATAATACATACATTATTATGTACAATCACAAATTTACTCTTTAAAATATAACAATTTTACAGTACCATATGTACCTAGGAACTGTATTTCATAAATATACACGCCAAAAGGCGGACAGCGGAAATATTAATAATGAATTCATGCATTGAGACTCTATATGATTCCCCTAGAACGTTTCGATAGCGCGTTTTAGAAATTATCAGCGCCATCTAGTGTCGAGCAATAGAAACTTATTTTTGCTACATTTCCATTAAATAGACGTACATAATTGTTAAATGGATAAAGCAAAGTGAATTAAAAGTAATCTATACATATAATAAAATTGTAACTTAGTAGAATCTGTACATAAAATATTTTTTGGAAAATCTAATTGAAATAGACATCATTATCGATACGGAGTCCGAATCTATCGTTTTTAGAATTTTTGTCTGTGTGTCTGTCTGTTACCGCATCACGAGAAAACCACTGGACAGATTTGGTATGATGACAGCTGGTTATCCGGGTCAACATATACTTTTTACCGCGGAAAAATATCTCATTTCTGAGAAAAAATACAAAAACTGCACTGTACTAATATGTAAAACCTAAGAATTTGGTTTTTGGTCATCTGAACGCGGGCGGAGCCGCGGGCAGTGCTAGTTTTGCTTTATAAAATTTATTTCAACAAAGTCGGGACGCAGAGCTTGTTTGTTTGTAATAACAAAGGATTATATTTATTGGTATATAGCACGACATGAATGTAGCGATAGCAAACAAAACAGAACTAAACAATGTGGCCTAATGGAATCAGACTGCGGCTTTATGTGGGATAAGTTTCAAATCTATTTTGAATATTATGTCCTTGCAATAAGCACTATTTTCGTTTAAACACAGCACACCTAAGATATTTGAAGTTTAAAAATATTTCATTTCAAATAGAATGAGGTAACATCAAATTCAATGTTACTTGAATAATATCTTG